CATTTTAAATGGTCCTCACCAGTGTTGGGGAAAGTTACTTTTAAAAGTAATGCATTTCAATATTGCGTTACTCGCTAAAAAAGTAACTAATTACATTACTTAGTTACTTTTAATAGAAAGTAATGTTACATTACGTTACTTTTTCTCATCTGGGCTGGGCTCATTTTTCTCTTTTCAGCAATAAACAAATGTTATGTTTATCTAAAGTAATTTTTGCTTATTATTATGGTTGAATTGGATCATTGAAGGTCAGCAGCAAAGACACTGGTTAATAAAATGAGATTAAATGAATAAAGGATGTTTGTGTTATTTAACATATTGAATTATTGCAGGTTTGCGTCATATTCTGAGTTTGCATTTCACTGTTTTTATTCATTTTGAGGAATACTGAATCTGTTTTTATGTAAGTGTGATGAGTAAATGCATGTTCACATTTAGTCTAGAACTACAGTAACATCATGTTTATACAGCGCACACAACACCTCTACACTTTCTCCCGATTTCTCTCAACATAAGGACAGGAGAGCTCGCAATACATGGGAAAACAAAGTTACTGCATTACTTATTTGAAAAAGTAACTCAGATATTTTCTTGTAAATTAAAAAGTAATTTGTTACTTTACTAGTTACTTGAAAAAAGTAATCTGATTATGTAACTCACGTTACCTGTAATGCGTTACCCCCAACACTGGTCCTCACTGTATGAGAAGTTCATGAATCAGCCAAATTATGTTTTGCATTAAATCTTCTGATATCAACTGGCTTGTGTGGGTTAGAGGTGAGGTTGAGGTTTAAGCTTAGCAAATGTCATCACGGCTAAATATAAACCATTGCATCCATGAGATGTCCTTATTTACATAGCGAAACTAACATGTTTGTGTTGATGCCTGATCGTGTAGTCCGTCCACCGGAAATGTACAGCTAATCCATGTTACAATTGTTACTCATCTTACAGTGATATTGTATAAATTAGGGTTTTCTCACTTTTATATCTTTCGACTTTCCTCTCTTTCCTCTCTTTGTGCCCTGCCTTCCTTTTCTATGAAATACACTCTTCTTTTATGTGACTCTGGTAGCAAACCATTATGCAAGCCGGGCCGGCTAATGCAAAATTAAGATATCCATCATTTGCATGCACAACTTAGGGATTTCAAATGAAATCATTGTTTAATTTATTAGTAGAGAGACGCAAACAACTGTTGATGTAGTGAGAAGAGAGGAAGCTCAGCAGGAGGGGCTTCAGGGAGACTAACATGTTTGTGTTGATGCCTGATCGTGTAGACCGTCCACCGGAAATGTACAGCTAATCCATGTTACAATTGTTACTCATTTTACAGTGATATTGTATAAATTAGGGTTTTCTCACTTTTATATCTTTCGACTTTCCTCTCTTTCCTCTCTTTGTGCCCTGCCTTCCTTTTCTATGAAATACACTCTTCTTTTATGTGACTCTGGTAGCAAACCATTATGCAAGCCGGGCCGGCTAATGCAAAATTAAGATATCCATCATTTGCATGCACAACTTAGGGATTTCAAATGAAATCATTGTTAAATTTATTAGTAGAGAGACGCAAACAACTGTTGATGTAGTGAGAAGAGAGGAAGCTCAGCAGGAGGGGCTTCAGGGAGGGCAGTGCGATGTGTAGCTAGATGTCACTCAGCAAAATCACACCTTTGGGGTTCGCTATCGTGCAGGGCTGGTGTTATATGCAAGTGCTTTGAATCTAGATTTGTGTAGTTCTGCTTTTCAGTGTGTGATGTGGACTGCCAGAGAGTGCAAATGCCATGTTATTTGTCTTTTTAAGATGAGCATTTGATGCCTGGTTAAATATGAGAGGTAGAAAAGCTATGCAGACGTGACAGGTAAGAAATTCTTGTGTGTTTAAACTTTATTTGCTTTGTTCGGTTGCCATGTAGAGTTTTTGCATGAACTGCCACATCACGTTTACTGTAATATTATAGTAGTTTGGGAGATCAAATACAATGACATATATTCATATACTTAGATGTGTAATGTAGCAATCCTTATTGGATTTAACTATTGGTCAGTTTAAAAATAGAGACTTTGAGTATTTTTGTGAAAGTTTTTTTGGTTTATTAGTCTTTCATCATGACAATCAAAAATGTATGTATAAACACGTCAGTCACCTAGCCTGCTATTTGTGTGTATAGCGTGACTTCACAAATGCTTGAAAGACTAAAAGTGTGAGTTTTGCAACTGGTTTTATTCATTAAATCGTAAAGGATGGATAAATAAAAGCTTTTAAGCTCCAGAACTTTTGGAAGTTAGACCTTTCTGTCCTTTGATGCTTTTCTGCTTTGGGAAAATTAGTTGGATCAAACTTTGGAATGATTTTGATTGAAATGTTTCCCAAGATATAGGTTAGGCAAATTGTACGATGAGAATAGCATACCAAGCTTACAGAAATCACCCCTAAATCAAACAAAACAAAATCTAATTTTAGCTTCAGGAAGTGGATGGGTTTCACTCTATTCGTTTTAATAGAGCACTTCCTTGTCAGCTGGAGGGTTACTATAGTGATCCAGCGCAGCTTGAGTGCAGCATGGTTTCTGCGGTTGCATACAACGAAATGGTGATGATGTTTCGGTATGTGTTAAGTGAGTTCAAAAATAAAAAAATTTAAAAAATAAAATACAGAGGATGCCACTACAGAAACTGAAAAGCAATTTAACGTCTTCTCCCAATTTTGTGAACTATTTTTAACTATATTGTTTTTTTTTTATTGGAATATAAAATAAGCCCTGCATTGCTAAACTCTCAAGGGAGGAATCCCATATGGCATAACAATATTTTAAACAGTGAAGCTCAATTAAATATATTTTGAAATTTAAAATATATTTACTTTCAACCTTCATATACCATAATATATTTCAATATGTATTTCAGGGTCAAGAAAATACATTTACATTCTTACAGGCGCCTACATTTAGGCTTTATTCATTACATATTTTTATTCAAATGTGTGATATGTTCACACATGTTATAGACAACAAAACGTTTTTTTCTTTAAATGTTACATGTGAATGTATTATATTTTCTATGGAGGGCAATATGTATATTAAATTCTTTTAAAATATATATATATTTATATATTTTAAATATATTTGAAGATAATTTTAGTAAATACATTTTGGCCATTTTTTGTATATTTTTAAATATATTAAACATGTATTGGATTTTTTAATTATTATTATTTATTTATGTATTTATTTTTGTGCACCGTTGTGTGCTTGAAATTAAAGTGATGTCGAAATCTTCAACTCCTAATTCAAAAAGATAGAAAAAAGGAAGCATTTTATTTTAAACAGCAAATAAGTTATAAAAATATTGAATACATTAAAGGTAGGATAATCTCTGTGTGATACAATCAAAAAGTACACACCTTTTTTCTTTTTTTAAATTAATTAATTAATTTATTTATTTAGTAGACATTGAGGTGAAAGTAATTGTTGTGTAAATGTTATACTACATCTGCTGATCCAGATGACACAAGTTCTGTCATTTAACATGCGCTAACATGATTGCAAATTAAAGGATTAAAGGTACAACCAAACAATAACTATAAATATTACTCATCATATTATAATTAGTGTCATTAAGTGAGAAATATCATTGTTCATTTGTAACTTGAGTCAAATGCATTTGTGATTCTTGATGTCCAGACAGTGCCATTGATAATAATCCACTTGCAGCATCTGAATCTCAAACTTTATTTAAAATTACAAATATGATATGGGTATCTACAAAGACCCACACTGGTGTTAGCTTGCATACTGCAGTGTAATTCCGGAACACCTGAACTGACATTTTGTCTCATCCTCATTATGCAGATGTCTGAACATCAGCCCAGGAAGCTGGAGCGAGGGAGGGAGAGCACACAAGAGGGAAAACTGCCATTTAACCAGCATTTGAATATAAAGAAGAGTGAAAAGAGTACTGTTTTTTTTGTGTGTGTGTGTTTTTTAAACAAACATTCATTGATTGTATACCAGTGTCAGAAATGAACTTTTTTTTTAACTAAGGGGTGATGTGTGTGTTTGTATATATACTGTATATGTGTGTGTATATATATATATATAAATTGTAACTGAAGTTCTCACTATAATGTCTAAACCCATACATGCCTAGAATATTATGAAATCAAATGTAAGATTTTTAGGGGTTTTTTTTGCCCCGACATCTGTGCATTTTTTTCACCAAGCCTTGGTTAATTTCTGACCCTGTTGTATTCTGTTATTTCATATGGTGTTTCTAAAAACTCCGTCTGGACTGGTTTGATTTGATAATTGTGCAAAATATTTTTTGTAGTTTATTTTCTTCCTTTTACAAAGCAGACGTTGTGACTGTGTAATTAAAGTAACCAAACTTTGTATAAAGATTATTTATGTTTTTTTTTTGTCAATTATGGGATGGATGAGTGTTGTGATTACCTAGTAATTTTTTTTAAAATTGAAACTTTGTTTAATCATCAGTGGTTCTCAATTGTTTTGATTCGAAGGCCCATCATTGTCAACACAATATTAGTAGGCCCCTCATACTGGTATTTCTGCTGTAATTATGACAACACTATTTGTTTTTTTAATTAACAGAAACTGGGAGTGTTGAAATATATATGATATATATAATTAAACAGTATTTCTTGTGAAGATTTTGCTGCTGAGGGCATTACTGTAAACCTGAGATCATTCTCTCTTCTGACTGATGTAATCCATCTCTTTTTTTGAAAGTTGTGAAAATACTTTTTTTGTGGAATAGTGGAATTTTTTAGTTTTTTGGTATTTGAATGGGAATGCAAAACAAATATTTGCTATGCTCCAACAATTTACTATACTATAGTTTACTTCCATGTTCCAAACACGCAAATGTGGAAAGGGTTAATGGTCCATTGCAATTGTTTAAGAATTGTTTTAATGCTACGTTCAACCTGAACCTTGCTCATTCCTGATTGCAGCTACATTATTCTACTTTTCTTCAGGATGAATCTCCTCTACACATTGGCATGCAGAACCCCATGCTCTGGAATAGATGTGCACAGCCCGTCTTAACCTTGTCTCCACCTGTTGTTGCAGGTAACACACATTCACTAATCTTGAGACCAAAAATGACACAAAAATAAAATAAAAAGCGTAATTTGCTATTTAATTTTGTCTCTCACAGTTCCTGGGCAATGGACAGTGATGTCTCATAGGCCTTTGAGCAAATCCCAGTCGGCACCTTCTTTTATTCAGCACATCCACACTCAGACTGTTATGATTACACACCCCATGTACCAACAGCAGACATTCCAGCAACACACTGAGACAAATGCACATTTGCAAGCAAACACACAGAGGTCTTGTTCAGAGGCTCATTGTAAGGTACCTTTTCACATGGTGCGGCCCGTGCCTTCTGGAGTGCTGAGAAGAGACAGAGGAAGAGCAAGAGAGGACTTACGCATATGGTCCCAATCGCTGCATGAAAACTGTCGCAGTAATCGACTGGGAGTACTGCACAACAGTGAATGCTGTGATGAACAAAACAGAATGTATCACCGGAACCTTGCGCGTATGCATTCCTCTCCAGACACCTTTAAAAGAAGTCTGCCTTTACATTTTTCCTCACCTCTAGCCCGGGATGTCAGGAGAAAAGCAAATACTACAGGTAGGAGGAATGAGGGTGTCAAAACAAAGTATAGCCATAATGCTTTTGAGTGTTTAAAAAAATAAAAAAACCTTAAGAAATAATTAAATGTTTCTGCACAATTTCTAAGTCACTAATCAAATAAGTCAGTTTGTGTCAATGAGCTTTCTGGTTGGATGTTCTAGCTTCCACTGAAGTACAAGATTTGTATCATTCTCAAATCATGCTGAATAACATCATCATTGGGATTTATTTACACAAACTTCATGCAGCTCAAATATCGATTTTTCAATGCAAAATTTTAAATTAAATATGTTTGAGAACCTTTTTCACTAGTGGTCTTAGACCTTTGGGCTCCACTGTTCATATTTATATTTAAGGAATATCACAAGAAAAGTCAAAGTGCAGTTTTTCAGACCAGCAGTACAAGTGTAATATTTAAACTTGTAAACTATAACAAAAAATTACACATCAAATTTGACTGAGAAATTACCCCCAAACGATAATTTAAAGTCATTATTGAGTTCAATGAGAAAATCTTTCAAAAAGTAGCTTTAGAAAATAATATTATGTTCTGCTGTGGCTTTATACGTAATATTTTAATTTGCAAAATTGAGCACAAACAGTATTGTGTCTAAAATATGACACAATATTAACTTTTATATTAACATGGTAATTCTGCAGCCCTAATATATATTTATGTTTATTTTAAAGTATATTTGTGTGTATAGGTTTGGTGTTGGACTATAAGATGCTGCAGCATGAGTGTAACTGTGGAGATGGGACTAACTTTCATACTGGGTATGCTGGCAGAATTACGAGTATCTGGTCAAGATTGCAGGAGTGTGGCCTCAGGAGTCAGTGTAAGGTAAACAATGCTGAACAGCTCATAAAGCTCTAAATATTATTGCAGTGGTGAGAATTTACTTCCATGTGTGTGTGTGTGTGCTTGTCTCTTAGTGGATTAAAGGCAGGCCGGCCACGTTTGAGGAACTACTGTCAGTCCATTCAGAACAGCTTATTTGTTCGTACTCTGGGTTCTCAGAAAGTACAGCTTCCATACCATATCGAAGTCAAACAGACCTTGATACAATATTGAATAGTTCCTGCAGTGCAGCAATACTTAAGATGGCAGTCGGCAATGTGATCGAGCTGGCTCTGCGTGTGGCTGGAGGAGAGCTAAGGGTGAGAATCCCATTGTCCACAATTCCTTCTCCTATAACCACAGAGCATTGACCAGTTCAGATTCTTACTCCTTTTTCTGACTCATCCTCAGAATGGGTTTGCTGTAGTGACACCTCCAGGACACCATGTATCACATTCTCAAACATAGTGAGTTTCACTTAATACAACTGCAGACACGTTTTTCGATCCAACATGAAATAACAGGATCTTCAGTAATGAATACTTTTATTCCACAAAGACGCATTCAATTGGTCAAAAGTGACAGTAAAGACTTTTACATTGTTACAAAAATTATATTTTATTTTATTCTATTCTATTGTAAGCCGGACAACTGTTTTCAAATTGATTAAAAAAAAGTTTTTTAAGCTCCAAATCAGCATAACATGATTTCTGAAGGATCATGTGACAGTAAAGATTGGAGTAATGGCTGCTGAAAATTCAGCTTTGAAATCACAGGAATAAATTACATTTTAAAAATATATTAAAATAGAATCGTTATAAATTATTTTAATAATATTTCACAATATTATTGTTTTACTGTATTATCAAATGAATGCAGCCTTGGTGAGCAAAAGAGACTTCTTTGAAAAACATAAAAAACAGCTTACAAAATCTAAACTTTTCAATGGTAGTGTATGCAGGTAAATAATGCTGTGTATTGCTATGTTTTTTTCATATTTTTTTCTCTCTCATTCTCTCTCTCTTACAGTGGTTCCAGTATCTTTAATTCTGTGGCCATTGCTGCTAAACAGCTTCAGGAGCGTTTAAACGTTAAAAAGATCCTTATAGTAGATTGGGTAAGACACACACACACACAGTATTTGCCTTAGATATATTTCATCACTTACATGCATTTGCAAATACTGATAAACGGTATTGACCATAATATGCCCATTAACTTGTAGCGACTCAGCTCATGGGAAATATGAATAATTAACCATAACTAGTTATAATTCATTATTAATATTTTAGATCCGCTGTAGATATTTAGCTGACCTCTCAGGGTCAACTGTCTTGTCAATTCTAAGAACGTTAATTTCCTGGTTAAGGGAAATAACTTCCTTACTGTACAATTCTACAAAAGCTTGTAGCATAAATCTGCATGATTAAGTGACTCCAGTTATAAGCAAACAATGAACCACGTCAAGTGTGATACAAGTAAGGTTTTATTAACTACATAAACACTTAAACTAGTCTAACATACTACATAAACACATAAGACATCAATTACAAGACACCATCCCCCAGCACTGTGTTGAATCGACAACTGGCCAATGATTTGAATGAGTTCTATTGCAGATTTGAAAAACCCTGTCTCACACCCCACACCCATTCTGACCTTCTCTCCTTGGATCTATTAACACCTCCAGCAACCCCCTTCTCCCCCACTCCTGCACTTCTGGTCTGTGAAAAGGGATGTGCATCAGGTCTTCCGGAAAAAGAAGACAAGAAAAGCACCAGGCCCAGATGCAGTTGCCAAGTCTGTGTATTTTACCCAACTTTGGGCTGTTTTTTTTTGTTTGTTAAGTCCCGTTAAAAAAAATCACGGGTTGTGTTTTTTGGGGGCTTATTTAAAAAATATGGTTGCTTGTTAGTAAAACCTGAGAAGCAACTTTGTTTTGTTACATTTATGGTCGCTGTTTTTTTCCAATATATTATTGACACTGTCTGCTTGTAGCTAATAGCCAGTCAGGGCAATAATAAAAGTGCTGTAGTGTAATTCGTCATCGCACATCGCGTTTAACATGCAGACATGTGACATTGTAATCCAAGCGATGATGGTTAATAGATGTAAATAGACAAACAATGCCATCAACACAGATGTACAGGAAACATGGGAGCAGGTGAACGGTGCAGGGTAGGAAAGGGACCTAATTCAATTTGTAAAATATTTTTATAATGCATTGATAATTAAATCAACAAATAAGCAAGCAGTAATACTAATAGCAGATACATATGGTTCGAGTTTATTTTATTATAAATATGTGACTATATTAAATCTCCCCCTTAGTGCTCTTGTCTTATTCTCCTTTACCATCTCCAAAACTATTCTGTTAGTTTCTGTTAGGAGGATAGTGTGTGCACTCCCACTTTGTTACAGTTTGATGATTTTGTAAAATAACTTCTGTTTTTGCAGTTTCAGTTTATTATGTTGCAGGCTTATTTATTGATAATAACTAATATTGATGATAAATAATATAATAATATTGGGCTTGTTTTTGAAGCTGTGGTTGTTTATTTATCTTGTGAGAGTTGGCAACACTGCCCAGACGGCATTACACCAGCCTGTCTGAAATTCTGTGCTGTCCAGCTGCCCCCGATCTTCACACAGATCTTCAACAGATCACTGGAGCTGTGCAAAGTCCCTTCCTGCTTCATACCCTCTACCATCATCCCCATCCCAAAGAAACTCAAAATCATAGATCTGAATGACTACAGACCTGTTGCTTCAACGTCTGTGGTCATGAAGTCATTTGAAAGACTGGTGCTGCCCACCTGAAGGACATTACCGGATCCTTACTGGACCCCCTGTAGTTTGTTTACCGAGCAAACAGGTCCATGGATGATGCAGTCAACATGGGACTGCACTACATCCTGCAACATCTGGACAGACCAGGGACTTATGTGAGGATCTGGTTCGTGGACTTCAGCTCGGCCTTCAACACTATCATCCCAAACATCCTCCTGTCCAAATTAACCCAGCTCTCTGTGCCCACCTCCATCAGTCAGTAGATCACTAACTTCCTGATAGACAGGCAGCAGCTAGTGAGGCTGGTAAAATTCTCTTTTGGCACTGGTGCCCCTCAGGGATGTGTTCTCTCCCCACTGCTCTTCTCCCTATACACCAACAATTGCATCTCTAAAGAACCCTCTGTCAAGCTCTTGAAGTTTGCAGACGACACCACATTTATCGGCCTCATATAGGACGGTAACAAGTCTGCTTACAGACAGGAGGTTAAAGATTTGGCTGTATGGTGCAGTTATAACAGCCTGGAGCTGAACACGCTCAAAACAGTGGAGATGATACACAACGAAACACACAGCGTCTCCACAACATGGTGGCGGCGGTAACAATATTACAGCGAGAGTTACGTCTTCTTTCTTTGCGTGAACATTTGGGCGGTGTTATGCAAATCTTCCCACACAGTGATGTAGATATGTGGGGGCGTGTTTAAACGAGGCGTTTAAGAGGGCGTGGATGAGTCAACTTTTATAAAGAATATCTCTTTGGGTTTGAGACTTTAGTCTATGCAACTTTAGGGATCTTATCTATTCACGAACGGCTTGTAATACTCCAAAGAGAAAGGAAAACTTAAAATCGCATCATATGACCCCTTTAAAAATTTCACCTTCAACCATTTTTTCCCTATTTGAATTAAATGAATAAAGTTTCCAAAAGGTTTGTGTGTTTTTTTTTCATCACTAATCATTGCACTCTGTACTTTTGTCAGGATGTTCATCATGGCTATGGAACTGAGGAGATATTCTACACAGATCCTAGTGTCCTCTATATATCCCTGCATCGCTATGACAATGGTTCTTTCTTCCTTGGAAATGGACAACCTACCAGGGTTAGTTTTGTGTACATCCCTTTATGAAACTAGTGAGTGTGTTTGACTGTGCATTCATAAGTGTCAGATTACTATGTATGTAAATTGAAGCTATATGTATGTGTTACAGGTAGGATCTGATAGAGGGGAAGGCTATAATGTAAACGTGGCGTGGTCAGGAGGCCTGAGTCCTCCAATGGGAGATGCAGAATACCTTGCTGCATTCAGGTACTATTCTGATGTCCTTTTAGAGTGTCTGGTGTCATTTTAGTCTTACGTTAAAGGGATCATTCGCTAGAGGTCGAAAGTAACTAATTACAAACACTTTCGTTACGGTACTTGAGTAAATTTTTTAATTTTTTCTACTTTCTTGAGTATAATTAAATTGTGGTACATTTACTTTTACTTGAGTAGAATAAAACTAAAGTATTCAACTTCGCTACATTTATGTTTTACCGAAAGTACAAAGTACAAAAAAAAAATGGACAAAGGCAGTGCCGATGGAGAAACAGTGTGAGCCGGCATTTGACGGGCACTTTTCACACAATGTTGCCAACTAATTTTCAGGGGAAGTTGCTAAAGGAAGGTCGATTTGTTGCTAAATGACGTTGTGATGTCATTGCATGATGACATCATTGTGTAATTATGACGCAAAATTGTGTCACTACATCAAGTCTCAGCAAAAAAACATCTTATATATGTTAATTTAGATTTGTTTGTAAAATAATATAAGGTAATATAATATTAAAATATTACTGTATTTTTAAATACAACATTGAATTATTGAACACTTACATATTTTTGAACAATTACAATTTAAGTTTTTTTTATTAGCTAGTAAACTAGTAAAACTAGAAATTCTGAAGTTATAGTTTTAAGCAGTGTTTTAGTAGTTAGCTACACTTTAAGAAAAGTCAGTAAAAATAGGGCACAATCTACTGTTAATGTGAACGAATTTTCCGTATTGATTTTTCACAGGTTGTTTACCTGCATTTTAAATTACGCATTGTATTTTGCGTTTTCAGGTTACATGGCTACAACGGATAATGGATAATTTCCTGGAAAATTACCTTTTACATTTTTCTAAATATTTTTCTTACAGTGTACTAACTTATCAACAGTCGCAGGTACAAGCTATTACTAACAAGGTGTATCATAAAATAACAATAATTCAATTATTATTATTATTATTATTAAATTGAACAATTGCAAATAGCAGCTAACTTAATTCATGTGATGTGTGTACCTCTAGACATCTTTGGTTTCCTCTTGTGTAATTTAGATGGAAAATTTGTGCCTTTCATCGTTTAAATCACCTATCAAAAGTTGCTAAAAGTTGCCAAATAAATTTCAAAAATAGCTACATTTGTTTCTAGGTGCTTTTGGAAGAAAAAGTTGCTAGGCTAGTGTGAAAAGTTGCTAAATTTAGCAACAAAATTGCTAAGCTGCCAACACTGTTTTCACACTCTTGGGTTGGTTCCCTGCGCTTCAGCCAATAACAGACAGGTCTGACTCGGGTGCAAAACCAATCCAAACTTCCAATTCAGCTGGGGGGTGGGCGTTCAAACCGCGCTTTGCTTTGACTGTCAATCACGGCGTTGTCGTTTTGAATCAGCATCATTAGCGTTTCAATATTTTAGTGAGTGTGAGTTATGCTCTGATTTGAAATGGTAATTTTGTCAGCTCCTGAAATGGGTCATACTGTCGATATTACACAGCAGTATAAGTAAATAGAAACTCGATTGATAGAAGGACGCAGTTATTGCATGGATGGAGCAAGAACAATGCAAGTTTCTAAAATGCATGCACATGTATTTTAAACAAGTTCAGTTGAATGGTAAAAATCGCCCTCTTTAACAGTGCGGTTAAACCAAATGTACAAAGCTCAAATAACCTCAACATTAACAACAACACTGAAACAAGAGCGCATGCATTTTACGTGCATCTGGCTGATAGATCAACCATGATTTATCTGTCAATCAGATGCATTTTAAATAACTTTTTCTGTGTGCGCACTTTGGATGTGTGTGCACATGGGCGAAGAAACGAGATAATCTATGTATGACCGGACGATTTATTCATATCCAAAACAAGACGATATGAACATGGAGCGCTAAACACTCTCATGCAGTGCATGTCTCATTCATACTCGAAGCCGAGGGCAGCTCTTGCACAGAAAGTCCAAAACCGCCTAGTAGAAGTAATAACTTATGACGTGCAGGAAATCCCTAATATGGACAAAGACATCCCGCTATTGCTGTAGCTAAAAAAGGTAATTTCATGTAATTTCGAGGTAATAAATATAGTATATGAATAATGCAGTGCTAATTGACATAACATTTAATACAGTATAGAAACTATTCTGCCTTATGTGTTTGTATAAACCAATTCTAAAATTGTCATTAGGAAAATACAGAAAAAATATTATAGAATACAAATTATTGGTTATCATCCAGCAGTGTATTTGATTTCTTATCCAATTAAAATACATAAGAAAAAATAAAGCCTGTCAATTAGACAAAAGTAAAAAGTTTTTTTTTGTTACATTTCTGTCCCCCTCATTTCTGAAATGATGGCTATGCTCCTATGTGTGCAGGACAGAAAGTAGTGCATGAGTCTTCTTGTGCTTGAATGGTTTAAAGTCATATTAAAATGTGCACAAAGGAATTGATAAGAGGAATCAAAATTTTAAATTTTATAACAACTAGACGATTCCTGACCTTAAAATCATCCTATTCCAGAATTGGATTAGATTTTGGATTCCCAAGCCTATGTATGGGTTAAAATGTTAAAGGGGTCATATGATGCGATTTAAATTTTTCCTTTCTCTTTGGAGTGTTACAAGCTCTTGGTGCATAAAGAAGATCTGTAAAGTTGCTAAGACTAAAGTCTCAAATCCAAAGAGATATTCTTTATAAAAGTTAAGAGTCAGCCACACCCCCACATGTCTACGTCTCAATGTGGGAAGATTTGCATAACGCCGCCCAAATGTTCACGCAAAGAAAGAAGGCATAACTTTTATTCTCGCGGTTGCCACCTGTGTTGCCACCCATGTTGTGGAGACACTGTGTTTCGTTGTGAAAGCGAAACTACTTTGTTTGGCCTTCCAAAAGAAAACGATATCCGCTTCGTCATGCCTGGAGCTGATCTGTGCTGGTTGCTGAGGAAATACATAAACTTTGCGCTGTGGATCGCCGGATCGGCTTTCACCGTGGACGAAGCGGAGTCTAGCCCGGGGTCGTCACATGTGGTTGCTGCAAGCCCGCCGGACAATCCTTCGCCGGTCCTCCGCACCGTTCTTAAGCCCACCCACTTCTTCTCACTCAAGGCGGCCTCCGCTCACTCTAGGCCTCCGGCCTCCGTGTAAAAAGACAGTATAAGTAATTAAAATCCGTAATTATGTCCCCACTGGATGCAACAAATGTCTCATTTATAATGGGTTTTAATGTTTATGTCTCGTAGCTCCGGCCGGGGCTTTCACCGTGGACGAAGCGGAGTCTAGCCCGGGGTCGTCACATGTGGTTGCTGCAAGCCCGCCGGACACTCCTTCGCCGGTCCTCCGCACCGTTCTTAAGCCCACCCACTTCTTCTCACTCAAGCCGGCCTCCGCTCACTCTAGGCCTCCGGCCTCCGTGTAAAAAGACAGTATAAGTAATTAAAATCCGTAATTATGTCCCCACTGGATGCAACAAATGTCTCATTTATAATGGGTTTTAATGTTTATGTCTCGTAGCTCCGGCCGGACGGCATCACAATATGGTAAGGGGCGTAACATTTCTGTCACACGCTTGAGGTATTCGGCCAATCACAACGCACCGGATAGCTGGCCAATCAGAGCACACCTCGCTTTTCAGAACGATGAGCTTTGTAAAAATCGACTTGTTTCAGAAAGACGGGGCATAGAGGAGAAACAATAATGTACAGTATGTGGAAAATAATGTTTTTTTAACCTTAAACCGCATAAACACATTTCATTACACCAAATACACAAAATAATGTTCTTTTTAGCTGCATCATATGACCCCTTTAAATAAAATGTTTTTTTGTTTTTTTGTCCTACCGAAAATGTGCCTGGAGTCCACCTTTGTTATTATTAAAACTACACTTTCAATGTGATTTTTAACCATTCAAGTCAAGAAGACTCATAGGCTATTTTATCTGCTGCACACACATCCTTGTGTAAGTGATCTTTAGCCTGTTGATTTTCATTCATAGTATTCAGCTAACAAGGAAATATTTAGCAATAAGAGTTAGAATAAATGTGAATGATATCGAAGATTTTTTATTCTTTCTTTCTTTCTTTCTTTCTTTCTTTATTATAATTTTTTTAACCTTATTGGAATCGAAATTAGGAATTGACAAGAATCAGAGAGGAATCATAAAAATTCAAATGATGCCCAACCTTACCCATACCCCACATAATTTTTTACTGACACATTTCAATTCACACTGTTTTAAACCCTTTCTTTTCTTTTAAACCCTCACTTACCCTTCTTTGCTTTTGCCCTTCTTAAAAACAACGACATAATCTTATACTTGAATGTACTTTTCAAAATGAGTTATAAAAGAGTTGCTCCTGGCAAGAGGGATAGATAGTATGTTTGCTTAACATAGCGTCAAACATGACAATTTATGAGACTAATATCATGTTTTGCTCCAAAATCACTCTATAGTAAGTGTTCTTTAGCCTGTTGATTTTCATTCATAGTATTCAGCTAACAAGGAAATATTTAGCAATAAGAGTTAGAATAAATGTGAATGATATCTAAGATTTTTTATTCTTTCTTTCTTTCTTTCTTTCTTTCTTTCTTTCTTTATTATAATTTTTTTAACCTTATTGGAATCGAAATTAGGAATTGACAAGAATCAGAGAGGAATCATAAAAATTCAAATGATGCCCAATCTTACCCATACCCCACATAATTTTTTACTGACACATTTCAATTCACACTGTTTTAAACCCTTTCTTTTCTTTTAAACCCTCACTTACCCTTCTTTGCTTTTGCCCTTCTTGAAAACAACGACATAATCTTATACTTGAATGTACTTTTCAAAATGAGTTATAAAAGAGTTGCTCCTGGCAAGAGGGATAGATGGTATGTTTGCTTAACATAGCGTCAAACATGACAATTTATGAGACTAATATCATGTTTTGCTCCAAAATCACTCTATAACATCAGTCGTGTTTGAAACAGTTAGCTTCTGTGGTTCCATGTTGCTTCTTATCA